TGAATATATTTTTAACTAATATAACAAATTAACTCTAAATACTTATAGAAACAATCAAAAAATATTAAATCTAAATACTTAAGTTAAAATATATATAATTTATATATAAAAATTTTAATAAAGATTTATAACAAGAGGATGTAGTAACTTAGTATAGTTGATAAGTTGTTAATCTTCAAGTAACAAATCTAGTACATGTCACTCTGGTTATACTGATATTTGGATATAATGATATCATAAAAAAATCTTTCTACACTGACATTTTTTTCAAAATTTTAATATAAAATGTCAGTATAACTCACTGTATTGACATTTTGAAAATTTTTACTAATGTCTCAAAAATATTGATTTAACTAGAATTATGTGTATTTTAATTATATCTATAACAAAATTTAGAAATTATATTATATTATAACAAAACTATTATGAGAATTTATAGAACTCTTTCTGAAGATCCTCTGCACCAATTTTTTTATATATACTGATTTATGAAAATTATATAGTTAGTATGTTTATATATAACAAAACTTTGCTATATAGCATCTGAGTTTAAAAGTTTCAGATTGCATATAAGCAATATGAAAAAAAGTTAAAAAAGACAGTTTCTTGTAGGTTTGGCTCTTTGGTAGAAGTTTATAGAGATATTAAAAAAATAACTTTGACTACAACTAAAAAAGATTTTGTTAAGCTATATCTGAGCAATAGCAAAGATAAAAGCCTGGTTGGATATGCTATTCTATATAATATAAACTCTTATACTTATTACAGTTGGTGCTCTAGAAAATTTCTTCTTTACTTTTTTTTAAGAAATTTTTATCAAAAAGTGAGCAATCTAGTTTATTTTCATTAAAATTGACATTATTGATCCTTTCAAATTAAGATTGTTTATTAGTTTTATTTTAAAAGAGTCTGTATTGTAAATAAAGCATGAGTATACATAACTTGGAAAAAATATAATAATAAGACAAAATTGAAGATTTTTGGCAAAATATAAGATGTTGGTCAAAATATGACAAGTGTCAAAATGCAAGATCTGATAAAAAGTATGATAAGTCATATATGAAGATAGATTCAGTAACAAGAAGTCAGAATATCTAATACATAAAAAATTTTTTGTCAGTTCAGTTTTGGTTAAATTGTTTTCTTTAGGATATAAGCTTTAGTATTAAATATGTTAATTAGATAGAGTTAAAGTAGAGATTATTGTATTTAGTAACATATAATATTTAGTAAACTGATATAGTCTTTATAATTAATGATCATTTGTCTGACCTTTGTTAGCAACCTTCTTCTCTTTTATTTTTGATATTTGTTTTTTTTTTTACATTTCTTCTTTATACATATTTTTTTAGTATATTCTTCTCTTAATAAGAAAAAATTTTTTGTTATTTTTTTATCTTTCTATAAATGAATGCTATCAAATTGGTACTGTTCAATTGTATGATGATAGACAGATAGCTCAATTCAGACTTTAGCAGGTCTAATGTAGCAGGTTACTTATAGATGCCAATTAGGGTAACCACATAATGATGACACATGAGGTTAGATATAATTATATTTGTATATTATTTGTACTAAATATTTATGAATAAACTTCTAACTAGTTAATCATCAAAGTTGCTAAAGTTAAAAAAAAAATAAAATTAACAAAACTATTTTTTGATAATTAATTAAATTAATATATTTGTAATCTTAGATATATCAAGTTAATTGAAATCTCAAAATATTTATGCAAAATGTAATATTACATGTAAATAAAGAAATGTTTATTGGTATTATAAAAATAAAATCAGCAGATATAAAAGACTAAAAAAACAAAAAAAATAAAAATTTCATTTGAAAATTCTTAAATAAAGAGTAATACTAACTTTTAATAATATTATTAGATTAATAAAAATCTATAAATATTTTTTAAAAAAATCTAAATAAACTAAATAATAAGTATATATAGAAGAGAATGGTGTTGCTATTCTTCAAGTGGCAGGTCTAAGGTTCAAATTTCATTTATAGTAAAATTTGAAAATTAGACTGTGTTATAAAAACTGTTTTCTGTCAATTAGTTGGCCTTATACAGCTGTAATTCAGGTACACCAAGTTGAGTTCTACTTATCATTAGAAGCTCAGAGCATCTATATGATTTTGTGTAATTTCTTACATTACTCCATTGTTCCAGAGGTATTATATACGAGCGAAAAAAAGTAATCTGAATTATCATGTCAGAAGTTTTTGCTGGATATCCTTCATATCATGATATTCTGCATGATAATAATTTAGTAAGAAAATTTTGGTTAGGTCATAGACCTAAGATTTAAATGAGATTCCTTAGACGCTGAACCTCAAAACTGATTAACTGCTAATGAGTTAGCTAATGTGTTGAATTTATTTTTTTTACGATTTAAGAGGTGAAAAAAAACGAATTATACGAGCAAGTTAAAATAATTTTTTTTAAGAGACTTGGACAAACATTCAAATCAAGTTACATCAAATACGATTCAACTATCAGACACATAAACAAGCTATTTATACAAGCCGGATTTTGAACTATCAAAATTTTCCAAACTCGCACAATTTGGTTTATTGATAGTTGGAAACTAATTTTATACAATCATTGTTATCTATTACACTGTTTTCCAGGAAAATGTTCCTACAACATGTAAGAAAATGCTTTTTTTTCAGCAGATCTTATATAGATCGTAATACTAATTAAACCCATACAGTAGAAATCATAAATAATGCAACCAAAAATATATATTTTTTTAGATCGCAATATTTCACGCAATTCCGGGTCTTTTCTTTGCAATTTTTATTTTATTTTATTCACAAATAGTATCCTTTTTAAATATCGTTTTAGACTAAGATCAAATGTTTCCTACTGTACTATCTATGCCACAAAAGTGATAGATCGATTCACGGCACTTTTGTTGATAAAAGTTGCTGTATATCACACTCGTGAAGAATTAATAAAGATTAGTTGTCTACTTATAAAGTGCAAGCAAAACCAGACAAGAACATTAAATTGAATAATCTTCTATTGTCGCTTCATTATTGTTTAATTATGGTTTACCTAAAAAAAATAATAATATTTATGTTCAATAACTTGCTATTCTTTTTATACTTTAAAACTACAGGTTAATATTAGGGATTAAGTAAAAAAAATCTTAACGATGTAAATACGAGTAAAAATGTTGGCTCAAACTTACAAAAGAGCATGAAAATCAGTTCATCAAAGGTAATTCAATCTAATGATTCAAAATTTTAAGGTTTGTGAGAAGTTATTAGATAGCTTTTAAATTAAACTTAAATAAGATTTTGATGAAATTTGTAACGATATATAGTGTTGCATTATATTTTATTATACGAAGGTCTTAGTAAGCTAATTATACAACAAAAAATAGTTACACAAATGGATTTTTTGTAAAAATATACGAATACCATCAGAAATTATGAATATGTTAATAAGAGAAATATATAATAACGATAGTAAAGCAATAATTTAAAAATAATCAAGTCAAGGCTTTATATTGGTCGTCATATATTTTTAAATTTTTCTTATTAAATTTTTTTAAAATTTTGGTTGACCGTCTGCATAAGAGCTTACTCTTTCAATCTTAAACTTGAAGGGTCTTCGGGTATGATCTAGGTAACTCGACAAAAAATCAGTATTGATACTTGCATTGATTTGATTTGCCCCTTTGAAAAAACAAAATTTGTATGGCATGAGATAAATGTAACAAATAGTAATGATCATAAATTATTAAAATAAAATAAAATAATTTTTTTTTATACGTAAAAAAAAAATTCTTTATTTTATATTCATGTTGTGTTTAAAATGAGCAAAAACAATGCAACCCATTTTTTAAAATAAAGCTCATACCTGTGAACAAGTTGGCATATTGATCTTACTAAAATTGTCATTTTTAAAAGCTGTAGTAATAAAATAAAAAAAAAGGTTAACAGATATACTCTAGTTATTTAATTTCAGATTAATGAGCGTACCAATAAAATATTTACCTAAGTTATTTCCATCAATCCGAGATTGTAAAAAAGTAGAGTATAGAGTGTAGTGCTTATTTTTCGAGGGTTACAGTATGTCCAATTCCGTCTATTTAGTCCAATTGACAACACTCATTCTGTAATGTTTTTCTATCCTTTAACTTTCGTTTACTTTTGAGAGTTCCTAGAAATCATATATATAATGTGAAATCACAATTTACCAAACATTCCTGGATGGTCATCGACGTTCAAAAGATTATGATACATATACTAGAAATAATACATATGGTTTTTTCTAAACATACAATAACTATATGGGCTTGAGTCAATAGAAACTATAAAAATATTTTTTAATAAGTTTTTTTTTTTAAACTTTAAACAAGAATAACTTAATAAATACTTAATTCTGCAAGTTATTTGAAATTTATTAAGTTATTCTTGTTCAAAGTTCCAAAAAAAATATATTATAAAAAATTTGCTTGATTTCTTTTGACTCTTATGTATCTATGACATCTAATCCATATCAAACTTTTGGAAAATATTATATTACCGATATAGCTTCGACTTGGTTGCATATGTTTTTTGGGAATAAAAACATGATTTTTAGTTAAGATGGTTGAATGTTTTCAAACACCTTACAAAGTAAAGAATTAGAAATTTTTATAGAAAAAAAGATTTTTTGTCTCTAAAGAGTATATATAAATCACTGTTTATATAAAAAAATTGTTTTATTTGCTTATTAAAACAAATAAAAAATTTCTTTAAAAAAATAGTAATATATGAAAAAAAATTTTTTTCTATAAGTGCAACATTTTTTATACAATAGTACTTGATGTGTTAACTATTGTAGATAATATTCAAGAAAAGCAGTTAAAAATAAGGGCTAAACTTTTCATTTTCTTTTACAAAACCAATCTACTTGTGCATTCATATAGTTTAAGGATATACAAATTGTAATGTTCATTACATTAATTTATAAAATAAATTTACAACAAAATACCCATATATTACAATATATATTCTTCCCAATTTAAAACATGAGAATGTATATCAGGAAAAGATATTTCAGTTTCACACATGCTAGAAACTCCCACCCCACTATCTTCCGCTATTTCACTTTCCATATAAACAATATTATTTTTTTTCTTATCAAACCTTTTTGTAGTGTCCATACTGTTCATAACACTTGATGTTAAACTATTTAATCTAAACCTATCATTCCCCCGATTAAAAATGTTATTGAACCATCTTTTCAAAGTATCAAAAAATCGTGGTTTTTTACAACATTTTGAAGTATATTCTTGATTTTGTTGTAAATTGATTAGATCTAAATCATGACGATCAAATAAAGGATCATTCATTTCATCAAGTCCTTCATTAATAACATAATCGTTACCAAACCTTAAATTATTGTTATTATTATTATTATTGTCAGTGCGCACATTTAAGATATCATTTTGTATGCTAAATTGTCTTTTTTCAGATGGTTCAATTGACATTTCACCAAATGTGATTTTCTTTATTATTAATACAACAACAATTATTGCTATTATGGCTGCGATTATTATTCCAATTAATTCTGGTGGATTGACTGGCAAAGGTGAGGGGAGTGTGTTATTAGAGGTAACCGTTATCGTAGGGGATATGAAAGGTCGAGAATTAGTTGAAAATGATGAGAAGATACGGTTTTTTAATTTGTTATGTTTCCGGTTAATAGGGGGTAAGTCTTTATTAGTAGGGGATGAACTTTGTTGACGTTGCTTATCAGTAGTGGAAGGGATAAACTCAGATTGAATATTTGATGTAAATTGGGGATTAAAGATTACATCATCCGGTGACTTTGTAGTAGGTTGGGGTTGAAATTGAGTATTGAGTAGAGGTTGAGCATTAAGCGGAGGATTAGTATTAAGCGGAAGTTTAAATTTGAGTTCAGTATGACGATGAAGTGGTGGTGGAGGTTGAGCAAATAAATCATTAGATGTTGGTTTAGGTTGGTTAGTGATGGTATTAATATTATCAATGAATGTTGGGAGAGGTTTGTTAGGTCGGTTAGTGATGATATTATTAATATTATTAGTAGATGTTGGCAGAGGTCGGTTTCTGGTGATGTCAATATTATCATCGGGTATTGACGGAAGCCGGTTATCAGTAGATGTAGGCAGAGGTTGGTTTTTGGTGATATCAATATTATCGGGAGGCTGGTTATTATCAGTGGGTATTGGCAGTTGCTGGTTATGTTCAGTGGATATTGGCGGAGGCTGGTTATTATTAGGAGACCGTTTATTATCAGTGGGTGTTGGCAGTTGCCGGTTATTATCAGTGGGTGTTGGTAGTTGCCGGTTATTATCAGTGGGTATTGACGAAGGTTGGTTACTTGTGACATCAATAATTTTAACAAATATTGGCAGAGTTCGTTTACTATTGGTATTGTCAGTAGATGTTGGCTGACTAGGAATATTATCAATAAATGCTAATTGATCAAGTTTAGGTAATGTTTCTGACGACTGAGGAGTAGAAACGTTATTTTTGCTGGGGGTAAAAGGCGTGGGAGATACAGTTAGGGATAGAGTGGTAGGAATGCTATTTTCGTGGGCGATAAAAAAAGACAGTGATGATAATTTCGTAGGTACGTCTCGCGATTGAGAAGTTGAAAATGGTAAATTTGTACGTAACGAAGTCCGAAAGGTTGGTTTTTGTGAAATTCGTGCCATTAATTTGTTCGTGCCTCTCTCTTACCTGAAGAAAGAGCAAAGGTAGATCTTTAACTTATCGACAAGATGTATGATAAAAGATTGATATTGTATGAACGGACATAGACAATTAGTAATAATCCCCGAATTGATGAGAACATTGGTAGTTTTTTGACATATATGTATTTTATTTAATGATCATGTGTTTACAATCCGACCTATGTAAATTTTAGTACTAATATTATCACTAATACTAATTTATTACATTCAAGTTTATGAATACCATTTTTCATGGGAATAATTTTCGTGACCCACCAATAAAGTGAGCACTTTTAAATTCTTAAACTTAGGTAGTAAGAAGGTTATGCATCTGCAAATTATGGTTACACGAAATATCAATTCATGCGTTTATAGGGGAATTTTGCACGTGACTCAAATTAAATCCTGATACACTTCTTACAATTCTCGATGATCTCTATTAATACTAAGAGTATTAGCTATGATTTTTTAGTTTCGTTTTTTTATGAACACTGTAAGGTTTTTTGCTGTAGATGTTCATCTTGCAGGCTTCGTCGTTAGTTTAAAGATATTCGAGAAAGTTGTGTTACGTAATAAAAAAATTATTACAGGTATTTTCCTTATTGTGTCTAATATGCTGCGATTGCTTTGTGTATTATGTTATAAACTATTAAAACAATAGTTATTTATGCGGCATAAATGCCTAATAAGTTGTTCGCAATAAGAGATTCATTCGAGCTGCTCAATTATAACAATAATAATTGCACTGTCTATCATATTGATTTAGAACAGCTTTCGGTATCCCATACAATACATTGTGTTGTGTTACAACTCGTGGAGATTTCGCAAAACAGCGATATATTTAAATTCATATTATCTTTTTGTACTAAGCTTATCAGGTTACTTTGTTTTGAGGCTGCCTTAATCATATTTGATGTGCACACCCAATTGATGGATATAATATGTATGCACTTCTAGAAAATTCCCAAAATATATCAATAACTGTATAATAATCCTTTATAGATTTTCAGGTACAAAAATCTCAGAAATCACGTATTATGATAAAATAATTTTATGATAAGTAATATCAATTACAGCAAGAACATATTGATACACTCTAAGTCAAACGTCAGGACTTTGTATTAGAGACGGACCAAATTATTACGCTTTCTTACTTAATAAGTAATGATTATTTTGTTTTTAGTAGCACATTTGCTTTTTTTTCTGTTTGATCATTCACCTCCGACTGATTTCTGCATGGCCAAGGTGAAATATCAGGAATACCACTTTCTAGGGGTTTGCATGGACCTAAAAACTTGTACTTTTGCTGATCGCACAGCCCATGAAAAAAAATTTATTACATTCGAATTAAAAGTTTTTACCGTTATTGAATTTCGGCCCGGCAGTGCAGGCCTTTACCACTTGCGTCGTTACAGCTAATTCCCGGAACATCTCATAAAAATCAGCCGAATGATTTTCAGCCGATTCGGTTAAGTTTGATTTCGGCATGATCGGTACATAGTATCACATGTAATATTTTATGCCACTCAGCATTATTAAATTTTCGGTTGAATGCTTATCCAACACACGTTTGGTATGTTTAGTTGCTCGAAAATTTATGGAAAGACTGCTCTTATAAACTAAATAAGCCTTTAGCAAAAAATATAAAAAGCATTATTTATATATGTTACTCTGGTTATATCGACGCTCTTCAAAAACAAAGAAATTGTTTTATATATCAAAAAATGCCGTTATAGTCAGATGTCGATATAACCAGAGTGACGTGTAATAAACATTATTACACGAATCAGTGCTAATATTAAAAAAAGATATATATATATAATATTACTTTTTTATTGTATATCCAGTTAATGTATAGCTTTCCAAATTGTCATAAGACTAATTTTATGTTCTAATAATAATATCATTAAAGTTTCACCCCTAATTGTAACCCATATGGTTGTCGCTCAATTTCCTGGAAGTTAAATTGCCTATTGGATAAATAACTTTCAAAGAATCGTATCATAACCAACTCATACAATAACGTCTAATTTTTTTCCACTAAAATCTTAAGATATATAATTCAGGTTTAGTGAACTCAGTTTTCCTAAAAGTGAATGAAGTTTTTCAACATAAAACGCTTGATAGAAGATCTATTTTTCAAAATGATAAAAGTTTTTTTCAATTATTTGCCAGCAAAGTTGCTTTGAAAGAATAATATTTCTGTATTCGACCAGGGATGTATATACGTACGTACTACTAGTCTTATAATATTTATATAAGTCACTGGATCTTAAATTATATATATCAATTTGAATCAAATTATGCCGAAATCACAAACTTAATCGAATCGACCGAAAATTTTTTCGACTAATTTTTATCAGGTGTTTTAAGAATTATGAAAACAACTGTACAGTAATAAGAACATTACATCGGTTTTCATAATTCTGGAAATACCTGACGAAAAAAACTAGCTGAATGATTTTTCAGCCTATTCGGTTAAGTTTGTGATTCGATAACGATAAATTGAATGGTTAATATAAATATTATAAGACTACATTCACACATTTACTTTTAAAGCATCGTGGGTAAATAAAAAAATTTGGAAGGCTCATCAGTTCGAAAAATTACTAAACACGTAGTAGATCTTCTACAAGTTGAGTTCTCACACACTTTCAAAGATGTGGATTATTGAAAACCTTTCGTAACACATTGTCGACAATATTGAAATCTTGGTTTTTTGGAATCTTAAACCAGTCGATAAAATTCTTTATTATGCCTATCTTTTTTAACATTAGCATCTATTCGTATATGTTTATTATGCGTCTAATTTATATTCGGAACCTTTTAATATTTCTTGTCAAGATTTATTGACATTATTTTCCATAACTTTTCATACAAATTAAACATACTAAACATGTTGGGCAAGTATCCAAACAAAAATTTAATAATGTTGAATGTGTCGATATCGATATTATAATGATAAAATTATCTGTAGGACAAGCAAGTATTACATATAAAATTATACACCGATATCAATAACTTAACAGAATCGGTAAAAAATCATTCAGCTAAATTCTGAGATGTCTCAGAATGTTTGAAAAAAGCTTTAAAGTAAATTTTTTCACGGAAAACTGTAATATTGCAATGTCAAATTAAGTTACCGACAAAGTTCATACCGTCCAACGCCTCCAACAATAATTTTACGTCATCACCCGCCTCTTTTGAGCTGTTACAGATAATGCAGGAACATTCTCTATATATAAACTCAATGGTTTTTTGTGCTTGTGTTGCTTCTTTCCCATCCTCTCATTCACCCAAAATTTCGCCGGGAAGGAAGACGCATCATTTTAACGACTGTTCACTTACATGTTCAAGCAGCTACAACCATTTTGTAACTCAAAGCAATGGGATTATGATACCTGTAACGTATGTTACTCCCTTCAGGATGTACTTGTTGCAAACACTAGATTGTTTCATATTTCACCACTAACTAAATAGATTATAGGCAATTCATTTTATATCCATTTGTATAAAGAAATAATTATGACAAACATCCTCGTATCTCTTGAATTGTTTGATTGGTTGAAATCTTCCATAAAAACTTATTATATTTTGAGAACATTGAAACAGGGATATTACATCTCATACTTCATATGGCTTCTGATATTAGACAAAAAATGTTAACATAAACTTATCTAAATACCAAATAATTTTATCATAATAATCCCCCGATCACTATATCAAGATCACGGGAGGATTAATTAATAATACCCTGACCGTATGTGAATAAGCGGAAACTTCGTTTCCGCTAATTCCCAACGGATCAGGATATTATTATTACAAATACACTTCCTAAATTATATTTAGAGATTAGTAACCTAACAATGGCGACGAAATTGTTGCTAAAGCGAGATTCTACTTTAGCAGCCACATCTAATTGGACAAATCAATCGATGAAAATTTTTTTATTTCGATTCTATATAAATAAAAAAAATTTACTAACTTTAGATGGGTAATCGTCAAGATAACTTTGCTCAAAGCTTAGAAATAACTTGGATAATTATCACCGTGACGAATTTTTTCACTCAAATTTTAACAAAGATATTTCGGCAACCACTTATCAAAAATCATTATTATTTCGATACTACATGACTGCATAATTAAAATATGGTCCAAGTTATTTTTGCTCAAAGGTTAAAGAAAACTCGGAGACTATCAAAATAAGCTGTGGCAAAGCTTTTTCCAAACTTTGAGCGAATATATCTCGACAACCACTTATTTAAAATCAATGAAATTGGTTTAAATTGGATTTTTATATACTGTTAGGTAAAAAGTTTTTATTAATTTTTTAGATAAGTAGTCATTGAGATATTTTCACTCAAAGTTTATAAGAAACTTATCAAAATAGAAACTGTAGTAAAATTTTTTCAAACTTTAAGCGGAGTTATCTCGTTAACCGTCTATCTAAAATAAAATTTTTTATTTCGATTCTATACAGTATTTCTGTATTTAATTAAAATAAAAAAAATATCAATTTTAGATAGGTGGTTATCAAGATATTTTCGCTCATAGATAATTATCAAAATAGAAGTAGCAAACTTTAAGCGAAGTTTCTCAATAGCCACTGTCTAAAATCAGATAATTTTTTTTATTTCGATTACTGTACAATTATAAAATAAACCATTTTCATCAATTTTAGATAAGCGGTCATCGAGATATCTTCACTTAAGGTCTAGAAAAAACCGAAGCTGCGATAAAGTTTTTTCAAAACTTCGAGCTAAGATATCTTGCAACCACTTATCTAAATTCGATGATTTGCATTTGAAATTATTGATTTCGTCCAGTTAAAATGGAATTATTTTAGAATTTCGTTTTAGCACGATCAGGAAAGTTCAGAACAAATAATTTTCTTGACCAATTTTATTTTATATCACATTCATATCTAATTCTAATATTAACATTAACCTTAACATAAACGAGCTTTAAAGTATTTTTTTTTA